TCCGTTAGTGTTTTCCACGGATAATTAACAAAAAAGGAGCGCCCCCCGGTAAAAACGGTAAAACAAATTAGATGTTTACCGTTTTTACCGCGAGGATGCCTCGGGGAAACCCCGTAACCCGAGCAACAGTCGTCTTCTCCAGCACAGCCATTCCAGGAAGCAGCACGGATGCCACGGATCCTGAAAGACTCAGCTCATCTTGTTTAGCAACATCACCCATTGAGCACCTTGAAGTGGCACCGAACACGGGCAAACACCGACGGTCTGCGCGTCAACCTTCGGCCCGAAGGGCGCACCTGCTTTGATCCACTGCAGCACACGCCCGCAAGCCATAAAGGCAGCCTTGGAAGGCGGAGATCTGGAGGGACAGCCATATTCTGGGAGGTGAAACATCATGAAACATCACGGTGATTTGGATCAACATCCATCCTTGCCACATGCCCCACACACGCTCCCACATTGTGAAGACCGGCCTCATCACGCCCTTTTTTCTCGGCGTCTCAACGTGTGCGAAGTCTTTGGAGTCACCGACCGAAGCCTTCGACGACGGGGCGCGGTAAAGGCTCTCACATCCTTCAGCGGCTCAAGGTACTCTTGATCAACTCGTATCTGGGCCGAATTCAGAGAAAACCGAAGTTAGGAAACCCATCCGAACTCGAACTCGGGGATGTTTAAAAACCACAAGATCGGATTTCCAGCCGACAAACATGTGATGATGCGGCAACACAGATCTGAGGCGTTCTCTGCCACTCACATCAAATACAACTGATAGGTTGCAAGGTGTTGTTGAATGGTATGGGGCAATTCCATGCGAGTTCATCCCACAGGATCTGAATATCGGATCTTAGGATCTCTGGATCCTACTCCTTTGGACGGCCAAACATGGACGGCCTGTCTGATTGGATTTGATCGGACAATGGGGAGTCTAAGAGCTGCTGAAGGTCCACCTAATGTAGACTCTTGATGAATAAACCCCTCATATGAAGGAGATTTCCAATTCAAATGGGGGGATTATGGGCGGTTTATTAATCAAGTCTACATTATTCTAGCTTTGACATCTGAATTTATGCTTTCTCAGCCCTTCATCGCATCATCGATGAAACGTGGCCGAAACGATTGCGATGCCGAAGAAAACGCCCAAGCCACGTGCAGAAGACCACCGCATGCTGCGGCCAGGCGCGAGCCATGGTAGCCCCGAAACCTGGGATGAAGAGGTTCTTGGGGGAAGGAAGAAGCTACTAGTGGCTCCTGGCCATACTACTAGGAGCAAAGGACGCTACTAGTAGCGTCCCTTGCTTCTAGTAGCGATGCCCGGGTTCCTAGTCGCGATGCCAGGAAGTGTCAGGAATTTCAACTCTAGACAAAGACATGATGATACCTGAATTTTCATCTTTTTAGCTCATATGCCATATGCCAGATCCTCAAAAGATGCCAGGAATATTAACTGTGATGTTGAAATGCCTGAATTGGTGGACGCACTTGTTCCTTTGTGTGCATAAATCCAACATTTTGGGTCGAATTTGGTTTCCTCGTGATGTCGAGTGGCTTGGGGCCACTCGCACCAGGATGACACCAGGATGGTGATGAAGAAACAGAAGATGGTCCCGCACTGGAGAGCGAACACCCGATCATTCACATTGCTCCAGAGTTTCGGGACTTCTTCAACTTCAACTCCCTGTGCTCTTCAGAAGCCCTGCAATATAGTTCACGTGAAAAAACAGCAACATCCAAATCATAGAGCCGCTCCGCGACCAACCAAATGACTCAGTGCGCAGGAATGGAAGCGAAGCCAACTAGATCTGCAATGTCCTTTTCAAGAACCACCTGGACGCTCCAAAGTATCATAGAAAATGGGACATGACCCTATGAAGACAGGTACAGTCGACCCATTTTCCAACATACGAGTACAAACTGAGACTCCAGGCACATGTTACTAGTGGCTATTTGTTACTAGTAGTAATGCCCTTTGTTACTAGTAGCGATGCTCTTGTTACTAGTAGCGTCTTGCTCCTAGTAGTAAGGCCAGGAGCCCCGTTCGTAGCGTCCGAACGCTCCGTTCGTAGCGATGCCCTTTGTTACTAGTAGCGTCTCATTCCGTCGGATCTTTCAGAACGAACAACAGCTGAAGAACGACGACGCACCACGTCGACCGTGCTGCGCGACGAAGCTGCGCTGAAAATCCAAGAAGCCACTTAAGAGTGCTCCCCAACCACCCTGCTTGGTTGTCGTCCTGTCAGCCGGATGAAACAACAATTCTAAATATTCTTGAAAAAGTGGAGGCCAACCTCTAAAAGGAGTTTCTGGATGATTGATTGGAGGTCAAAACCTCAAAAGCATACTGCTGGGGCACCTTCTGAGTTCACATGGCCCGAGCTTCTGCACAGTCTTTGGTCCCTCCTCAGCTTCGTTGTATGCAAGCTCAACCACATCACCAGAATCCAGGCCCTCAAATCAAAACGAGTTTTGAGGGTCTGGGCTGTGGAGGCTCCGACTGCCTCACCATGCCCCCTTCCAGACATATCCAGACGTCTCTGAGAAGAAGACTGCATCTTTGAAGACCTTCATAAGTCCATCTGCACTGAGACTCAAAGATGGACAGAACGTCCCATCCTCTTCTCACTCTCTGTCGCCTGAAGCACTGCAGCACCGAAGAATAGACGCCCGCTTGGGCCGTCGTCCAGCGCCTGACGACGACACCGAGTGACGTCCGGACGGTGCGACACCGTTGGTCCAAACGCGATGACCGGTGATTTCGCGGAAAAGGCGATGAACAGGACCCTATGACCATAGATGACCTAGAAATATGGACTATATAATCATGACGAATCACCAGGAACGGATGAACTCAACAATTGTTACTGCCAATGACATACTAACATCTAATAACACCCTCGCACATGGGAAAAACATGACCCTCTGAACATCTGTGCCTATTTCCGTGTTCTTCAACAACACATGGGAAAAAGAACACGTCACCACTTTCGGGGTGGATCTCCTTCTGATGTGTCTGTGCCACATGGGAGTTCCCCGTTGAACCGCTTATCCGACTGGAGGCCGTTTTGCTCGAGCAACGGGAGCGACGGGAGCCAGCGACTGATACTGGGGATATTCTGGATATCGCTAAGCAAGGAGTCTGTATATCCACCAACAATCCAAGATGGACACCAGCTTGGCTTGATTTATCAACCTAACACATACAATGTCCCGCGAGTTGTAGCACTAACATGCGCGGGACAAAGAACAATGACCCGCAAAGATTCGGAGACACATGAGTCTTCCCTGACTGACCACCTCTTCCCTGACTGATCCGCCCAGGGGGCGTCTTGATCACATCAATGGGATAAACGCAAGCCCATGCAGATGCTCCTCAGGCGTGCACCGTGCGGGCGTGCGCTGGGCTCATGTGGACCACTGACATTGACACAGAAGCAAAGGTTGCAACATCTGGATGTGGGACGTACAATTGCAGTCCCATTGTCCATCTGAGTCGGTGCCCGACAAAGATTTCAAACAAAAGACTTTGGCCGCTAGACGAATGCGGAAAGGAACACATCTTGTGTCTGGTGCATGTAGACTCTTGATTACTAAATCCCCCATATGAAGAATCAAGAGTCTACAATACATGTGCCATCAGCGCTTGCATCCGCTTCTGTACAGAGTTCGATCCCACCAGTGGCGCTCCTGCACAGCCGCCAGCCACGAAGCTGGACAAATCACCTTTCCCCAGCTGCCGAGTCAGCAACTCATAGACCACGAAGTAGAGCCTCGCTGACCAAAAGAAGCGAATTAGAGAAAACACCGTTCAACGAGGCAATTCTTCGGTGTGCTTTTGAGAAAAAGGAGGACGATCTGTTAAATTTTGAAGTGACTCCATGTGTTGGTTTCTGCCGGAGGTCACTGGAGAAGTGCAGGACCATTCTTTCGTTCGGACCACCTCGTGAAGGCATGGCTCAGTTGGTTGGCCCGCTCGGTCGGTGGTGTCTCAGTTCTGCCCCTCTGTCAGAAAGAGACTTCCAGAGCAGACCTCTTTCACAGAGCCTCATGTGACTCATGTGTTTGAGAAAGCTGAACTTTCGGTCTGAATGAAGCACTCATAATTGAGTCTCCGAACCATCTAAATCCTGCCAGACTCACTTTCAAAGCTTATCCTGCTTCATCGTCACCTTCATTCGCCGACCCCTTTGTTTTACTCATGCCGAACCCAGGTGCCCAACACTGGGAGTGTCTCGGATGATGGTGGTCCTCAGCATCGGACTGTCTCAGAAAACTCATCGTCTAGGGCCTAGGCTAGTGCTTACTTAAGTAGGGAGGCAGGGCCACGAGCAGGGCCACAAAACAAGAGAAAAGACCAACAACGGAAACAACAGGACAAACATAAACATTTGAAGATTTGTCTTTAAAGATCTAATATCTTCATCTCTCCCAGTCATCTGGATGAGTAGTACTCTGGTGGATCTTGGCCCTCAGTCAGCCAGGGTCAGGTGACCTTCAAGGATGCATCCCCCCAAAGCCATTCGTCACTCCCACAAGCCGTTTGAATCCACAACGAGCACCGGCAAATCCTCAAAAGACCGCGCGATCAAACAACAACAACAACAACAACAACAACAACAACAACAACAACAACCACGACAACAACAACAACAACACCACCACCACCACCACCAGCAGCAGCAGCAGCAGCCACAACCACAACCACATCCAAACACAAAACACGTCAAAAGACCAAGAGCAACCACCCCAAACACCTCACTAACCGTCATCACCAACAATCATCCCCAAAAAGCATCCTCCCAACTCTCCCCCCCAAAAAAGCTTAATCGCCCAATCATCGCCCACCGGTTTTGTCAGCGGCGAGACCCGAGTCCACGCAGCGGCCCACGGGGATGCAGAACGCCATGCTCTTGCACCAAGGTCTTGGCGATGTGCCTCGACCGACCGGACGGCCGTGGATGGTTGGGGAGCCCGGACGAGGTCCGCCGGAGCAGTTTGCTTTGGTTGGTCCAAAACAGAGGTCACTCAGGTCCTAGGTACTTAGTGATACTCTTAGTGATAGATATATATATATATTTGTATACAATTCCTCATGATACCTCTCTCCCCGCAAGAACCTCTAGGATGCCACACAGATATGACTAAAGTAGCGGACTCCCGAAAGCTGAATCATGCGGACTTGAAGCCCAACATAAATCAAGCTAGTTCGGTGACGAAGCAATACCCTTTTCAATGCAAGAACCACATATCAAAACAGGGCTGCGTAGAAGTGAACAAAGCTTTTGCGCATTGGGAGACAAGCACAAGTAAGCAGGAAATGTCCGAGCACCCATCAGAACTCTTACTGGAGTAAACATGATGAGGACTGAGACTAGGCCGGTGTTGACAAACACCGCTGGGGCTGGGACCATGAGCCTGTTCTGCAAAGCTGACATTGTAACTTTTCGCCAAGCGGCCATTCTTCACCTTGGTATCAAACGAGAGGACACAACCGAACGAAATCAATGTCCCATTGCATCTCGGAAACAAGTGTACGATATATCTTAAGACATCTTAAGACCAAGCCATGCTTGCTAGGTTCCAGATGAACCCTACAAGCTATTAATCAGCCCATAGGGACACGGATTAAACACCAACTCTGTAAAATTCATCAAATTCGCCGCCTCAACCGCCCCCCACTGTTGTCACATGAAGCCTACCTTTGGCAGCGAAAGCACACCAATCAACAGCAACAACTGGACAACACACATGCACCTTCAAAACAACGATCAGAACATATCAAAAGAAAACAAGACACTTTACCATCCGAAAAGCAACAAACCCATAGGCGATGAAATCATATATACTATTCACAAGTACACAACTCGACCGCCCAAGCCTCCCTTATCACCATAAAAATCAACCCCAAAAAGACCCATTAAACCAACGCCCCCGCGTTAAAACGTAAAAAACACCTTGTAAAACGCTGCAACGCTGCTGAACGCTGCCGGGGGCACTCAAGGTGCCTTTGTTCTTCAAGTTGGTCTGTGCTAAGACCTTCACCAACTCCGTGGGTCCATTGATCAATGCGCTGCCACTGCCGGCCACGCAGCCGGCCAGAAACACGGTCCTCGGTGGTCGCCGTTGGAGGAAGAGGCTGTGAAGCAGTGGGCGAATTGTTTTGGACATAGGCAAGTGTGTTGATTTGGGTGTTTTTGGGTGGTTTTTTAAATGGACCAAGCGTATTCTTTGTTCTTTTTCGGATTTCAAGGTCATGTTCTTTCGCGCTCTTTTTATCCGGTGGGTCGTGTGACGTCGCTTGCTACTGGCTTGCCACTGGCCGAAGCACGTCGGGGAGGGGTGATTGAGGATGTGCACATCACAAACATGCCAGTTGAAGGCAAGAACTCCCCTTCCAACATCCCGGTGGCTCAAAAAAGGGGCTGCATGTGTTGTGCCTTTGACTGATTGGGCGTGATATGTGACGTTCAACGGTTCAACGTGAAGAAATCTAGACTCACTTTTCCCTGTTCCATTCATACACCAACCTGGCAACTTCGACCAGGTTGCATGGTCCAGGTTCTCTATTTTCCAACCCACCCGGCAACCTGGACCATGCTTTCCTCGGCACTTCTCTGGGCTGCCGGACTGCAAGGAGTCCTCCTTCTTCGAAGGATCCCTCAAAAAGCGGCTGGTGGCCTCGTAGGTTAAGAAGAGGATCGCGTTCCTCAGAGATGTCGAGATTTTTTCGTCTCGAATTTCTGCACAGGCCAGGAAGAGTTGCACACATGGAACATGAATGGAACCAAGGAACTTTTGGAACATGAATGGAACCAGGGAACCTTTTCTAAAAGTCTTTTGCTATCATTTACCCATCGTAGTGATGCCAAACTGAACTGTAGAATTTCCAGAAAGCAATGCCGCAATGCCTGTACAAGAAAAGAAAGAAAGGTCCAATATAGTTTGCAATCACGTTGGAGGCCATCGCTACTAGGGTGGAGGCCATCGCGATCGACAGAATCCATGGGGATCTATCCAGCGATCCATCCAGTTCACATCTGGCCCAACTTCACTGGCCCAAGGTTCATCCCGCCAACTGTGAAGGTTGGCGAAGCATATCCTTTCCAAAGACCCCTGAGGCCTCGATGTGAAATCGAATGAAACGAAACAAGTGGCTGAAGCCATGGAGGACCCCTACACTTCGATCCCGAAAGATCCTGAGCAACGTGGAGGACCAAGCGGAAAGCCTTCAAACGGGTTGCATTTTTGGTCACCCAACAAGAACTCTTTTCCGTTTCACCACTTCGGCCTTCTGTCTTGAGCACAGACCTGCAGCAATCAATGATTCCAGCATAGGGCGCTCGTCCCAGAGCATGGCTGGTACTTTGCAGCCGAATGCCTCAGCGGCGAATGAAGGTCTGCTTCACGAAGTGTTCATAACCAGGAGGGGGTGACCACGACTGCAGGGGAAAAAGGAATCACAATGCACCATCCCCAAGCAACTGTGGTGGTTTGTAATATGTTTGCGCCATCACACCACCAAGACATGTCTGCGCCATGCCTAGCGAGGCCGGCGTGCCTCGCCGAACCTCGAAAAAACCGTAGACGTCACAAAGGGGCGAACGTGTCAGTCAGCAGCGAGTCAGCAGAGGAGAACAGACCTGTTTTATGCATATGGTTCAGCATGCTTGAGCATGTATGGTTGGAACGATATTAATCTATAATACTGTATACATCTGTATACTCAATTGTTTTTTTTTGCTGAAGACACACAGCGTAGCGATCAAACAAAGCTGAGGCAGTGACTGTACATCTTCAAAGCATCAAGCCTGAATGTACATCCACTCAACCCCCTGCTTTCATCACAGAGTCACTGACTTGGATGAAACTCCTCAGCCCCTCCCGACCTCTGCCTGTCCTTCCGGATCCGACGAAAACCGAGCAGCGGATGGTGTCCATGGGCTGCGTGGCCATGATGCCCACGGCACCGGCCAAGCCACCGGCCACCAGCTCCGTGGCCAGCGACATGGCGGTCGGTACCGCGTCGTTGAGCCGTTGTTTGGACAAAGGGGGAAAGAGGAGGCACAACCACAAGAGGATGCACCAGGATCTGCAGAGGATCCCAACAGGATCTGCAGAGATGGGAGCCTTGGCACATGTTTTTGGATGGAGCCTTGGCACATGAGGCGGCTAAAGTTGAGATGTTGGAGTGACCCAGTTGGAAGAAGCCGGGGTGTGTGTCATTTGAGCTTTTCTGTATGTCACCTGTGCACCGGGTGCCTGAGCACCTAATACCAATCTTTCAGATACCTAAGCCGGCAAGGTCCCATCAGTTTAACTGAGCCTGGCATGGCTGATCGGTGTTGTGACACAACTAATGCTCCACATCACGTGAAACAAAGACCTTCTAGATCTTCTAGGGATGAAAAGTCCCGTTTTGCTTCAGGGTGAGTTGGCAACTCATGGCAGAACAACAGGACTTGTCGAAGAAAAAGCGACCTCTTTGTATGATGAAGCGCAGTCTTCCTCCGACCTTGTCAACTGTCCAGCAATTGCTAAGCTCAGCACGCAAGCTCCACCTTGCCCCCAGGCTTCCTCCACATGGGCTGGCAGTCAAGTAATGTTGCTGGCTGTCTTTTCTCTGGTGCCAGGGGTCACCAAGCGAAATCGATGTGGGAGAGACTATAGCAAAATCGCCGCCAACACCTTCCGCGAAATCGCACAGTGCTCGATAAATCTCTCCTGCAAACCCTTCACTGTCACGCGAAGGTTGTAATCCACCTGCCAGTGTCGAAACCGAGAAAGTGTCGCACGCGGCGACCCATGGCTCGAAGAAACCGCACTTGACATCAGAGTGTGGCCGGAGGAAGGGCTGTACAACTCGTGTGGGCCGATTCTTCACCAAGCCCTGGCAAGGTCCGCTATGAGAAAGCAATCAGAGTCAAACGAGTAGTGAAAGAACTTAGAGAACAATTGAGGGGTGAATGGGTGTCAAATGTGAAGCAGCCTCTTCGAAGAGAAAAGGGAAAAAAAGCAAGGGCAAGCTACGCACTTGCTAGCTTAAGCTTCGACTCCTACAATGTTTGAGTCAAAGGAACAATGACGCCTGTGCACTGACTGGGAACAAATAGGCGCGAGAACAACAATTGGATTCACAGACATCTTTGCACGAAATCTCGGCAGGGCACTGTTCGAAGCTCTTTTCCAACAGCAGTCCACAGATCAGTCGCAGCCTCCTCACACTCTCCAACAGCTCTCCCCCCGCAGATTCAGCTCAGCACGGACCTAGCTCCGGCATATCCTCCTGCCGTCAAGAAAAATGATTGACCCGCAGAATGGTGTCCAAACTTGTCCAAGAACTGCCCAGTAAGTTTCAACCTCAAAACCATGTACCACGTCTTGCCTAGCAACTGAAACTTGTAAACTTTTCCTGGCTCTCTGACAGAGCCACCAAAACATGTTGAAGAAGTGGGGGAGAACTCACGAGCTGCATGAGCGCACAACACCGCCACAATGGCGTGGAAACCCCCGGTGACAGCTCCTCTGACCAAGGGAGCTCTGCCCAAAGATATCCATAGCGTCCTGGCAGTCTGCTCGTACAACGGGATAGTGGGATTTCCCAGCTGACTTGGCACCTTGCGCAAGGCAGTCTGCTTGAGCTGCTTTTGCTGGTATCTGTTTATTGGACTCTTCTGGAGGCTCAAGCTCTGCACAGGAACCCAATCTACAATCTGCAGCATGTCTTGGAGATCTGAGGAACTTGCCCCTAAGTGAAGACTGTTACAGTATGCACAATGCTATGCAACTGTCCTGTCCAGGCTCCGCCTTACGACCTACTGCAGTGGATCCAGGGCTCCTGCTCCTCCCTCTGCACAGCACGAGACTAACGTTCGGATGGCAGCAGGTCGCGAAGTCGTAGGCACCAGCGCAAAGACCTTTGGAAGTCGATGATCAGGGGCCGTACTTATAGATACATTTCAACACACTTCTTATCCTATGTTTTCCAATAGGTGACAATCCGATCAAGTTAGTCCATTTGCATCATGGAATCATGATGAATCTGCCAATCGGTGGAAGTGGCTTTCTGAAAATCTAGCAACCTTGGTGGAAGGATGTACTAAGGACAAAAGATGCGAGTTTGTTGGCAAATCGACCATCCACATGGATAAAAGTCCAAAATCCACTCACAACAGGTGGTTCCATGGTGCAAGGAGGTGCTTTTCTTACTCTCAAAAGGCGGTTTCCTGAGACAGGTCAAGAATTCAATGGTTTCTACAAAAGCATGTGCGGTACATACCAAATCAATATCACCGGGACCACTATGAAACCCCGTGAGATGCAAAGTATACAGAAACAAACGTGCAACAGAACCCCCAAATCTCACCTCTTATTCAGTAAGTAAGTGTTTGATAAGATCATCTGCGATCAGTTTAAGTGGCAACGTTCGATTGGGAACATCTTCACAGGCACGAAGAACAAGCTCAGCTTTTCAGTTGCACATACCAACACTGAATTTTCCCAAATTGTTCCATTGATGAGAAGCACCGTTCTTGTGGGTTTTCTCAGCGCACATGCTTACCACAATCTTATGGAACGCAATGAGAAGTTCGAAGATCGATGTCCTGGGCGGATCTTCTTCGTTCAACCGAGGAGAGCCTGGCGAAGCTTCGACCGATGTCCACGGCCTCCGCGACGAAGTTGCGAGCAGCCACTTCGAAGTCCTCCTCCTAACACGACGTAGTGGGGGGAAGGGACCAATACGGACGAGTATGCCCCGGTCACTGCCCCCGGTCCCCTCTTGTATGTCATGTTGGACCATGCTGTGAGGCTTGTCTCCAAAGGGATTGTGTGCATGAAGCGTTTGATCTGTTTCCTATGTTCATCGGTGGCTTCGTGGGCATGTTTGTTTTGGATTAATGAACGAGCTGAGCTCAAAGCAGCTACTTCTATGTTTAGAAGGCGCAGAACAGAAGGCAGCAGGCAGCAAATGATAGTCATAAATAACTCATGACACGATCCATGTCCACATCAAACTCCATGTTATATAAAGGTAAACGCCCTTGACACAAAACACATCTTGCATTCTTGTATCATCCTCCAGGGTTTCCTGCCAGTTTCTATGTCTTTTGAAAATCACATGCCACCACCGTTTTGTTTGGCAGCATGCTGGAGACTGGGGACTGTACACTTGCTCCCAGGCAGGGCTTCGTTGGACAACTTGTCCTCCAGGAGCTTTGCTTCAGTGAAATCAATCCACAGCAACTCGCCGTTGCTCTTCTGAAGCACCTGCAGCGGGTGCTCCAGTGTTGGGAGGAAATGAGACACAATGAGACATACTGAGACCGGGTCTCAGCCACACTGGGAAGCCTCCAGTGTCTTGGGTCGTGGTTGGGCTCTTTGAGACCCAAAGAGCTGCTTTGGTACCTGCGGCCTCCGCAGAGAAGACAAGAATCAGCAGCTTTCTTCAGATAAATGTTGTGAGACATGAGCCCAAACAAGCCAAGGAGCTGTAGTCTGTTTCCATACTGTCTTTTCACACTGGCCTTTGGTCGCAGTTGGTGGACTGGTATCCAAAACCCATTTCGAAGAAAAAGGCAAGGGGTGCAAAATCCAATGTATTCAACATCCAATCAACTTTGCCAAAAGTGACGCATGGTAACTTTCTTTTCACCTGGGGTTCTTCTTGTTGTCTCTACCTGTGGTGGGGCAGCACGCTCCTTCCACGTCTCACTCGTCGCTTGAGTGGAAGAGGTATATAGTAACGCATGGTAACACGGTAACACTTCATCTTCGCTTCATCATGTCATGAAAATGACTCTTCAGAAGACAACGACTTCTTTTCTTTTTGCCATGTCTTCAGCGCCTGAACATCTGCAACCGCCACCCCTTTCTTCAGCAACTGCACCGCAGTCTGCAGCAAGGACACCACGCTGGTGGTCGACCTGGAAGCGTCGACGACTTTCGAAGGTCACGACGAGATGCGTCGACGAAGACTTCAGGGCAGACAGGAGACTTCTGTGAGACGAAACGCCAACGAAACGGCCTGAAGATATTCCAAGAGGTTTCGTGCCGGCGATGCTGAAAAGGCGAGGGAAAAGCTGACAAACCCTCAGTAGATGACTTGCTGTTGTAACTGATGTAGAAGAGCAGCAGTTCGTTGGGTGTTCTTTGAGAACCCTGCTGCATCTGCAGCTTTCTGAGTTTCGCTTGTTTCAGAAACATGTGATGCTGGGAGCGACCAAGCCACCGATGCTTCGACGAGGGCCAATCCGTGCGCTTCCCCCCCTCATGATGCGATGTGGAGATGCCGAACCCAAAGCATGGAGGGGGACTGTCAGAATGTAGTGCCGCCGAACGAGGCTTTATGATACTAACAGAATCGAAGGAGATCTCAAGGCTAGAACACCTCAAGCTTGAGGAGTCTTGTAAAATCACACACACACACTGCATGTCGAGCATGGACAACAATAAACCCATTTGGGGATGTGTTCTTCCCGTCTTCAGTCAAACCTCCAAACGCTCGCTTCGGTCACGTCCAAGTCTCTGAGAGCTCAACTGTGTGGCATCCTGGCGGCAAGAAAGACGGAGGAATCGGCGTCGCCTTCGACCAGCCCGGGCGAAAGGTTCATGGCCTCGGGCCTACCGGGCCCGAAGCCCGGACCCCATGCGTCTGGAAACGTCCAAGACATGAAGATGAGCGCTTGGTGCAAAAAGAATGCAAGCGCTGTGAGCAGGATCCTTCGCCTACGACGGGCAACCTTGCCAACAGTTAGTCTTCACCGATTCACGGTGTTGAGACTCCGTTTTCGCATCGGAAGACGTCGAGTCCCAGAGACTGAAAATGCAAAGTCCATTTCCCTACTTGGATCTACTTGGCATCTCAAAGTGGTCGGTGAATGCCTTTGAACTTTGGGATCCGGCCTCGTCTAGTCGTCTACCGCTCCTTTCATCCTGGCTCTTCCTAGGATTGTGACTGGGACATGTTTAAGTGAGAACTTCTTCCCTTCTTCCCCGGTCATTGACCCCTGTGCCAACCCCAGATATGTTTCTTCTGCTATGATCACGACCGGTGTGCTAGCTAAGCCCCGCACCATAAAAACACCCGGCCCAGTCCACGGATTCCTGGTCCCAGGTGCTGCAAAGTATGGCCAAAGCAAGCTACTCCTGCGGCCTTCCACCACACAATCTTCCACGCATCGCCTAAGCGAACGAAGGCAGGAAGAACGCTAATCGCCAAAACCGCCCCACGTTCGTCCCGGTCGGCCTGAAGGGTTGGTGCAACGACTATACAAGTCATGGACATCCAGCATGCTTTTCTCAGACATGTTGAATCAACATGATCAGCCATCACACATGCAAAAGCACTGGCACATCAGAAGGAACTGACTCTTCAAGATATCTTCTAGATCTTCTAGATCCATTCGACCAGTCGATTTGCAGCACAAACACTTGCGGATTCGGGTGACACGATATTCGGCACGTCTTGCAGCCGCTGCAGTATGGCACACTCTCTGGAGACGGATGCACCCGTACTGGGCCGACTCACCTCAGGCAGCACGTGGGCAGCACCCCTTTGTGCGGAACGAGGTGATGACGGTGATCCTGAAATCACTTCGTGGCATGGAATGTGTTAAGACCGTGGCTGGGAGGGGTTGGGAGCCTTCTTCTTCGTTGCAGTTCACTTGGGCGTCGCTCTCATCGTTTCGTGGCACCCGTGATGTTTGGGGATCAAGCTGACTGTAAGTCGACGGGTCGGTCAGATTGGGTTCACATCGTTCGACCTGCCAAGGGCGAATCGATTAAATATTGTGTTTTTTGATTGTTTTTAAGAAAACAACGCCTGTTCTGAAGACTGGGATTTAAGCCAATTCTTTTGAACAGTGACCCTCCTCCGCAAGTAGGTATCCGCCCAGGGCACCCATGATCCGCCCACGGCACCCAAGATCCTCCCCAATTCAACGCTGCTCAGTGGCCTTTAGCACCTTAGATCTGGCATGATATGGCTTTGAAGCCTGGAAATGTTGAAACGCAAAGACTGCAATTCTTCTACGTGGTTGTGTTTGAACCTGATTTGTGTACTCTTCGCGATGGCTGTCGGTTGCTTTCTTTGCTTCGCTTGGGTGCTCATCTCCACCTGTGCGGACTAAACACCAAAATGGATCAAAATGGTAGAACGCGGCTACGCATCTGGCGCTCCTTCGACGTTACCTAAGCAACACTGGACTATGGACACTATGTCGTGCCAGAGGTTGATCGAAAGGACTGAAACGGAGACATCATGTTCAAACAATCGGGCAGCCACTCCTTCCTGTGCCTTTGGAACAAATTCTGCTTAAGTTCTACTGTTCTACCACTACCATCTTCTATACCCCCGAACACTCCGAAAACCCCCAACAAAGTCCAAACGCCTGTTGTGCCCTTCCCGCACTGACCTCTCAGGCCGGTTTTCGGACGGAAAACACCTCGGCAGAACGGAACCGAACCAAGCAAAACCAAAGCCGATTGCTTTGCCGATGGTCACCACGAACATCCATGAACACTTGATTTGGACGTCCATACACCGCGATGACGAATGTTCTACACCTCTCAGCTAAGGTTCGGCCGGATCATCTTGACTCTCCACCTGTGGCAACTCTACACCAATGAGTTCAAGAGTTTGGGATACAAACAAAAAAAAACATGTTTTCTTTTGACTTGGCAGCAACCGATGAACGGTTCAGACTCGTCTAGGAACTCTGGCCCTGTCTTCCAACAAGGCTCTGGCCCTGTCAGAGTAAGTAATGTCCACGCACTAAAGCTCCATCATGAAGCAGTCACCCGCGACGAAAGTTACCCACTCAAAGCTGAAACCAAAAAATCCCATGATCCCAAATGATGCGTGCCACTGCTGCTCGCTCGGAAACGCATGCCCAAAACACCCAAACCGCGGAAACGCGTTTCCGTCCCGCCGGCGCCTGGGTCAAGAAGACTGAGCCCTGTGCCCCTCCACCGATCAGCCGCTGTGGCCGCAGTTGGAGCCCGTTGCAGCGGGCGACCTCGCAGGGCCGTGGAGCGCTCCCAGCGCTTCTCGTGGAAAGCTTCAGTGAAACAAAAGCACCTGGAGCTCAGAAGGCTCAGAAGTGCAGTAATGGACAGATTGAACATGATCGAACACGATTCGGTCTGAATCATTTGAAAGCTCCAACGTTCATCTTCACTCGAGACGTCGCGAAGCTTCAAGCTGCCTCTGGCAATGTCACCAAGTCGGAGGCCTGGATGCGGCTTTTGGTGGATCGTGGCCTGAAGACTTTGGGACCCTTTGGGGACTGGGTACCATTGACTCCTGGGTCGTGGGAGGTGGGGGACATTGAGACACACAGAGTACACCCTCTGACCTGGGTCGTTCCAACCTGGAGCCGGACCAGCCCACCAGGGCTAACTTGACTCTCATTTGTTGGTAGGTCAAGCAAGGTAGCCTGGTTTTGATCCACGGCCATGTGACCCATATCAATATCAGTTCAATCAAAACTGTCCTGAAGCAGCAACAACAGCAACAACAATGTAACAACAACATCACGTGCCTGAAAGGCGCGGTAGACTTGAAGAGAATATACAGTAAACACCCTGCAAGAATAGAACCACCATGTTACGCTGATATCATGCTCTTGGAATGGTTGCCCTTCTGAAAAGCATCTGGAGCTCATGGAAGCCACCAAACACCATTTGGCCACGACTCTGCCCGGAAGTAAACACAAAAATACAAATTAATAATGGATCAATCATAATACAACCCTAGGGCTCCAACCATATCCTCAGAAGGTGGTTAGACCCCCCTGGCACCCACCCCTGGCCCTCCTTCGAAACGGAGGCCCTGGCCCTAGGGTAATATCATATATAAACATATATAATCATAATAGAAGCTGATATTGGTCGAATCAGGGAGGTCTCCTCTCAGAATCTCTCTGCTCGTTGTTCACCGTCTTCGCTGTGCTCCGTCCTGCGCCGCTCTCGAAAGAGCCAGCGGACCCCAAGTCAGCAGCGTGCGTCGGAGGAGCCTGCCGAGTAGGCGCACAAAAGGCCCAAAGACCAAAGGGGACCAAAGGGGACCACGGCATTGTTACCATAGAGGTTTGTGAAAAGGATCATTGCTCCAAAGCTTGCAGCTTGGCTGGGATCTGGATGTAAAATGCTTTCAGAGAAGCGTTGAGCCTGACTTGTCAAGACTAACGGAAAGCAACATGAGAATAGAAGACAATGAGGATTGTCCAATTGTCCGCCTATCAAACTGCTATGAACTGTCACATCATCAATAAGGTACTCTCATCTACATAAGTGTATCAAAGACCAAGACTTTTGAAAAGAGGCGTGGCATTAGACACGTCATGACTCGTCCAAATACTCAAGTCAAGTCCAAGAGTCGAGGTTATGATGGTTTACGCCTCATCCTTCTCAGCCTAGGTGATTTGCACCCATGGTTCAACAGGCTCAACATGAAGAGTTTCCATCTTGTGCTCGCTCGAGTCGTTCTCACCCACCAGGCGCTCGAGTCGTTCTCGGGTCGAGTCGCATGCTTTCGCGGCCGAGTTGGAAAGCATCCTCAACGTTGTAAGTATAAGATCTCCAACCACCCTAGCTGGACAGCCCGGGCATCTGGATCATGATAGAACCTCCGTCCATGCCCCCAATCGGATGGGGCATCGAGATCGATGAAAAACGGTACGAGGGCGCTGCACGAAACCGGGTGCCTTGGAAGGAGCAGCACAGTCGCTGCGGCCAGGATCCGCGGCATCGATGCGGCATGGTGCTGCCGACACGACTACCCCCTAGTAGTCACGACAGGGCCACGAGGATCTCACGATGTGTTGTGCTGGGCAGGAACTTCTGAATGTTGGAAGATGTCACTTGGGGGTGTTTTGGGGTGTTTCAATATATACCCTACACTTCCAAGACCATCAAAAAATTGGTTGACCGGGTTTTTGTAGTGGTAAATCCTTAGTTGATTCGGTTGTTGGAAGCCTAGGGTATGAGTAACTTGATGTTACTTGACTGCTCAGGCCAGCTGAGTGAGCCGGTCTACGGGCGTTGAAGAAGTAAGACTTCCAAGCTGTCATGCAAGATGTAACATCACCAAGTGCCACAAGAAAGCGAGGGGTGATTATCAATGGAAGGAGAGAGTATAGAAGTTATATGAAGTAAATATAGAAGTGCTACCTCTCAAAACCAACCACACCAGGGACTCCAAAATGACGAACAGCCACCTTCATATCCAAAATTTCAAGTCTTAGAAGCTGTTTCACAGTTGTTTCACATGGTCCGCCACTGCTCTGCCACTGGCGCCACTGCTCCACCTCTTCCTGCCGTACCTGGTCCGTGCCCACCACACGCACCTGGGCAACACTCAGATCGTGGTCCCCTTCCGCCCGACCGGGCAGCTCCGTTCGACCGGGGAACGTGCAATGACGCTCACCAACGCTTCGCCATGCCAACGTCAACGGTCGCTGGTCCGGCGAACACCCTTTCGGCGGAACGACGGAACCCTTCGCCGGTGGCACCGGTGACTCCATCCAACATGGCACCGGTGGTGCGGGGGGTTCCGGACCGGACCGTAGCGAGCCACCCGTCGGGGGACGGAGGGTTTCCCCTCTTGGGTCCCAGAAACCGCTCCGTGCTCCAAGGTGTCCTTCAGATAGCTCTGGACCTGCCAAGAACTGGACAAATGGCCTCCAGGTGGTCTCCATGTGGCAGGTGGCATCGAGGTGATCCATGGTGCGAGGCGTTTCGAAGAACTGGGTGCAAGGTATTTAGGGACGAAGATTACAAAACTGCTGCTGGACTAGGGAAGCTGATGGTACGAAGTCCAAGACATAAACAATGTGGTTGGAAGAAAAACCTGATTCAACCCGCGGCCAAGCTTTCAGATATTCCTCCCAAAAAGTGAGCCATGCCCTTCCCCCAACTTCTGATTGCACATCAATCCTGCGCCACCATTGAGCAAGGATGTTGCAACGTTGGACTGCGCGATCCTTGATCCTTTCCGCCACGACATGCCGTCGGATTTGTTTCGACCACCCTCAGTTGCCACCTCCTGATTCTGCCCTAGCCTGCTGCAACGCACTAGGAGTGCCTGTGATTTCTGCCCGCCAAGGCGCAAGCACGTTACCTACACGAGGGTTGGAGTGGGAGTGGAGGGCTTGGGTTGGTGCATGGACATGCTTCGGAGGAACAAGCTCTTGGACATTTGCGTTGCTCGCTTCCTATGCTTGGCCTAATTTTAGCTTCACCATTCTTTCAGTGACTCTTTACCAATTTACCCTTCAGTTCAACCGCAGAACCGGACAAGTCAGACTCTTGCAACTTCTTTTACCCAGCCAGTCACCCACAAAGCCAAGTCGCAGGCTTCGGAAATCCAAGTCAGGCAGAGGGAATGGAGCTACCGAATGCAGGCCTTGCTCCCAAACGCTTCCTGTATTTTGCCTAGCGGATGGCCTATACACTGTGTGGCTTTGGCGTTGATGATGGCTCTGTCGACATTGTGGCACTTTGCCTTCTAAGCCGAGTGACTTGCAAAAATCGTTGCACACATGTTGGTGAACCCACGTGATCGCTGCCCCTTCTCTCGATCAGCGGGTCCGCCAGCGACTTGGCTCAGCACTGCAGGGTCCGAAAAGGCATAGTATAGTACCTGTTTTCACAGCCAAGCTTGACCCCACCGGGAGCGCCACGATGGCCCTGGAGATCGCAAATGCTGCCCCTTGCTCTCCACCCAGGTCCAATGGCGGCATCAGGTAGTAGACCAACTCCTGACGACCATCCAGTATTCGAGTTGAATTTCTCGAAGTCACCATAGATGGGAAGTTCGACGAGCAAGTTCTCGTCCTTTAGCATCATTTTTCTGCCATTGTTGGAGTTGTCTTAGTCTTGAGAACTTGAAATCAGCTGTGCAACGCGAAAAAACACTTCGATGGGTTCTCCACCTTTGTGCGGTCGATGCTCTTTCTGAAACCTTTTTGCATATTGCTGTGCAAGTTTTGGGCACCAACATCCTTCTCGGTAATTCGAACTCCACTTTTGTATATACTTTTGTACCGCTCGGGCTTGATGAACTTCACCAACTTCGTTCCCGGTTTGTGGCCATAGTAATCGCCTTGCCCCTCCACTTTTGTCATGTAGGCTTCCTTGAACGTTCCTTCACCAAGCTTATCCTCCCACTTCCATGAAATTTTGGCCAGGCGTGCCACCCTGCTTCCACAACGTCCAAATCCCGCGTTCTCGCACTAATCCATGCCATGGGAGCCACGCACGATGCGAAGGTGTCGCTGCAAGGCTCTTGAGCCTTGCTGTGACACCAGAGCATTGACATCGAAGCTCACCTAGAAGGTTGTGCGTTATTTTTGACCAAACGGCTCCAGCGGGCTCGCAGGAAAATAAGGCAAAGCCAGCTTGATGGCGGCGGCGCATGCAACCTCGCAAGTGTCGCCTTCATGTTATCACTATCATATCTTGAAAGTGACGGAATTGTCCATAGTAGAGCATGGAATAGCATCTCCACCTGAACAAAGATCTATTATTTTCAGAAACAACAGATGGAACATCGATCGCAGAAGGCGTGCCTTTCTCTTCTCGTTTCGTCACGTCTCGACGTGTTCGTTCCGGTGGTGCCTGGCGGCTGAGCGAAATGCATGTGGCTGACGCCAGGCCTGCAGTCGAACGAATGGACATCGACAGCGGACATCGGCAGCGAATTGGATCTTCTTCTCCTTCGACCTTTTCGCAAAGTGATTGACTGATGTTGATCATGTTATCTTTGGGCGTCATGACAAAGGTCATGACAACTACTGGACCTGCACAAGTAGTTGCAGCTGATGTCAGTTGGGACAGACTACAAGTAGGGTGTCTTGTGAGTATTTGTGAGTTTCGTGAGTGTTGAAGCACCATTCTTCCCGCCGATTCATGACCAACGAGTGAAACCAGTGGGCAAATTGGTCATCCGCAACTACATCTGGCTATCCATGGCTATGACTATTGTGAGTGGATGCGCACATGCACCCCTTTGGTCCCCCCGAAACTGAGACAGCAGCCTTGCTTCAATGCTGGTGTGGAGAGACTGGCGCGCACCGCGAAGGCGTGATTGATGAGCGGCGTCGTCAGCCCTGAAGTCGTAAGATATGAGTAACCACACCACGATCTTGAAGTTCCTTTGTACAAGGAAACACCCTTCCCAAAAACCCTCCCTAGGTCGCTCTTCGGTCCAGTCAAGCAATGCAAGGTCATTCGGACGTCAAGCCGTGGAACAGGCACAAAGTTGCCACATTGCCGCTTCTCAAGAGGGATTTGCATGAATTCCGCTTGGAGACTTGGATAGCAGCCAAAAGTTCCCAGTTTGAGCGGTCGAAGCAAAACTTCAGCTGATGCCATCCATTTCGGCTGCTGTGTTGGCTTCTAAAGGCATCTCGGCAGCTCATATAACAACCCAAACCAGCAAATAAATAGGCTTCGACCTGCAAAATCAACATCTGTTACCTGCCATGCTTAAGCCTACCAAGCCAAAATCATACAGGATCTCCTTGTGGCACCCTCAAATATCCTTAACTCCATCGACTTAGCACAGGTAGATCCGCATAGAACTCCCCTATATATAAACACCCTGGTCTTCACTGCTTCCCACACGGTCGGACGGCACCTGCACTAAGGCGGCACTGTTCGGCACCACATCCAACAGGAGCACCTCCTGCGTTGAAAAGCGAGTCTGCGAGCGGATCGGTCCTGCTCTCGAATGCCAGCTACCTTCGTAGCTTCTTGTTACTTCGTAGCGATGGCCTCCACCGTGTGTAGCTTCTAGCTACGTTCTTAGCCGCTTAGCCTCTTGTTACGTTCGAAGCCTCTTGTTCTCCAACCTACTAGCGATGGCCTCCACCTAGTAGCTTCCTGTTCCTAGATCAAAATCAGATGCAGGTTCCGGTTCCGGTCTTTCCCAATGAAGAGAATAGTGTAGACTGGAAAGGGTCAATGTACCAGGGTTTATGGCTTGAGTCTCACAGCCATATCTACCCAGGGTGTGGTGCGGGGACAGGGATGCGATGGGGCGCTCAATATCCACTCGCGTAAAGGGACAACAAGCCATTCCTTTGAAAGCTAGTTTAAAAAACACATCATGCATGGCCTATCCAATCCTATTCATGCCTATACCAGGGGACAGCCACGAAAGCTGTGAAGATTCTCCTGCTACCTCAACACACGCCACCACCGTGAGCTGAAGACCCGCAGTGCAAGACAAAAGCCCTTTCATAGGTCGTTCCTCTGTGGGCTTGGCCGGCTGAGGAGGTACTGCCTCGACACACTGGAACGTTTGTGAAAACAACGTTGAACAAGCTACGGCGGCAAGTCACTTTGTAGTAACCCCTTTGTAGTAACGTCCGTATGGTCGAAGGCCAATTCAACATGACTGATCGATGGTTTAATCCAAGTAAATACGATCTTCCAAACGGCACGAATCATTGCCTTTTCAAGAAAACAATGCCACAACATATACCATAATGTTGTCTTTTTCCACAGACGCGGACACCGGCAGAAAATAGAAAAGAAACGGAAACATAACATGTCTCCGGCAAAAATTGCGTGCCCTTTGAAGATCCAGGCTACTAGTTACTAGAAGCTACTAGGGGCTCCTGGCCATACTACTAGGAGCAAGAAGCTATATCCAAATGACCATTCAGGCTTTACGAAGGCTATGCCACAGCGAGTCGGGCACGTTCTCGATCACTCGTGGGGTTGGCCCAGGGGCGCATGGATTCTAGCAAGGTAATATGCTTCCCTCCCTGATGTCGGTTTGGGGGCTTGGGGCGCATGGCATGGGGCAAGAATTGGAACTCACGTCCTATTTTCTGCACCCATCCACTGATATTCAGGCTGGTTCTGGAAGCATCAAATGGGACCCCTGCTTCTATTCATGTTCATCCATCACGTCCCAAATTGCTGAACACCAACATCCAAAAAAAAGAAACATAAGGTGCAAACATAGTGCAACTGGCCAACCTGCCATACCAAGTGCTCAACCGTGCGCAGCCTGAAGGAGCTTCGGCACAGCCTGGAGAGAAGCCTGAGATCGATGAAGCGAAAAAAATCCAAAGGCTCAAACCTCAACCTGTTGGATCTTCGTTTTCAAAAAGGCATCTCCGACACATCGATATACTAACGCAATCTAACGCATCTGTATAATTATAACTATTCTACGCCAACAAAACAACCACGTGCTTTCCAACGGCAATCTTGACAGCGATAGCACTTGACGGCTTATCAAGACTACCCACTTCCCCTGCTTCGAAGCTCGCGCGCCGCGAGGGGACGCAGCCCGTCCTCGGGCTTGAGGTTAGGGTATGCCTGCAATCCGCAGCTCGGAGAGCAGGTGCGAACCTTCGACTTCTGTCTGCGCTTGTGCTTGTCCATGATCCTTCTGCTGTCCATGCTTGTCCACATATTGGAGGAAAGGCACTCAAACAAACCATCTTGAAGCTAGAACCCACCTGGACCCGCCTTTCAGGAAGAACCCCTACCATCCCACAGTTGGTTCAAGTATTCTTCCGCCAACACCTGGTTAAAGAAGGTTAAAGGGAATGTACAGCATGATATCCTTCGATCGGGAGCCCGGACACCCTGAGCACTTGGGGTTTCACCCCACGTCGCGCGGCTGTGCCTGCAGCTGCAGTCGCCAGGCATTTCCTTTTCCTGAAGAGCAAAGGAACGACTGTTGGATCAATAGATTGAATCTGGTCCTTCACTTTGACCTAAGAGCATTGAGATATTATCCTAGGCCAACCCAAAGTCAGTTCAATCTGAGAGCACATCCTTTGTGGGTTAAGCATCGAAGACTGGGATTGTGAGCAGGTAGGTACTTTGAGAGCTGCCAAAGGTTGTTAAAAGGAACCTGCCCCCCCAAAGACAAAGCAGTCTTCATCCGTATATCCCATGAATTGTCACAACATGTCACAACCAATCTGGGGTGTCATACTTCTGAATGCCAAAACGTTTGGGCTTTCGTCTTCCTCCCGCGGTCGCCATCGTTTCTTCCGCCTGCTCGGGGAAGCTGCAGGACCTCGCGACTCGCGAGTCGCGGTGCGGTCAGACGGAAGACGCGGCCGCGACCGAGATGTTCGAAGGGTTCCTTACGAAATGGAGCATTCACATGTTTATCATGATGGCCCATAAGTTTGATTGATTGTACCATTGGATGATAAAAAATCATCCTCTATCATCAAATAGAGATGGAAGCACTATTGAGACACTACGGCTCACAGACACCAATAGGCTAAACTTTCTCACAGGTACACGAATGCTTTCTCACTTGCTTTCTCGATCATCAGAGACTCGTGGGATGTGCATAGAGACTCACGCTCGCAAGATCTGACTTTCCTATGCATTTCAACCCATTTCAATTCATTTCGCTGGCGCCTTCGCCTGCGCCTTGGCTTGCGAGGGTGCGATCGTCTGCCGTGCCGGCGCTAGCAACATCTGACGCGGACGCGGACGCAGACGTGGCAGTCAGACGTTCCTTGGTCTGATTCGATGTGGCCCAGTGAATTGCTCACAAATCACGAAATGACCTACACTCCGACTCACTAACATGGAAGTGGAGTTCAGAGTTCACCCACTGTCCGTAAAGGAAAGTCATCTTCGGGGCCCACTTCATCCACTTCCATCTCCAAGCGCTCCCGGTGCGAGCGGCCGCTCGGCGGGCCTCCTGGTGTGAAGGAGTCACCTGTGCAGGGCAGGTGCCAGAGGTCAGCTGGAGTCAGCTGGGCCCAGCTGATCCAAGGTGTTAAAGGGTGCTCCCGAGGTCGGGAGCTGAGCTACCCTGATTAGAGAGTTTTTGGGTTGGTTGGACCCCCTGTCAACAGAAGCTGAGCTTCAAACACATGCAGTTTCAATGCAAGAACCCTCCAGTGTCCTGCTTGGCGCTGGGGCGTCGGTTTTTGAGGCTCTAGATCACCCATCTTCGATCAGATTCTGTGTGGTGATTGCAGGAGTTCAGGGCACCTCGGGTTCATCCATTTCGCAGGTTGAAGGGAAGTTGGAGCGAGTTGACTGTGATGTTGCTGGCTCCATTTGGAACGACGGCCGGAAGCCTTCTTCGGACATCGGCGCGGCTTCCGATTCAACTCGACTCGTCGATCCAAAGGCGACCACGCGATCGTCGGTGATCTTCGGGATCACATGCAAAACGCAACGATGGAGAGAATCATCCACATGGCTCCTACCTTAGACCACCCCCCTATGTCCACATACCCATGGAATAATTACTTAAGGCAGGGGTCCATTCATCCCACATTCTTCTCAGAACCAATCTCAGACTTCTCGGGTTTTGACGGTCCAAGGGATGGAGAAGATCAATGTCAGAACCCGAGATCAACACCCCTCCTTTGGTCCAAGGAGTGCAGAGTCCAAGTGTTTTCTGTTTTCAGTGTGGAGTCCAATGGACGCCGCCATTCAGGCCCACACATTAACGCCACGGGTTTCATCCACCTCCACACCCCACATCCCACGACCCGCACCTTAGGAGTCGCGCGGTTTTGACCGGGCTCCAGATCCTTCTTCTTGGCCTCCGGTGCTCCGTCCGTGGATCTTTCGTGCAAACACAACTGGAGCGCCTTGGGTGTTGAGCGAAGGATTCACGGTTTCACACCATGTGTAATATATAATCACCCAGCTTGAGGGTCATCTGATGCTAAATGACTAAACACTAAACGTGACGTAACATGACATGAGATGACATCTCGCAGGCATGCCGTGCAAAATAAACTCACCTTTTCATCGAAACATGCAAAGTTGCACTTTGACTACCTGGCCCCACACCGGCTCTTACCTCTAGTATGGCCCACCAAGAAACGGCCGGCCTCTCAACTACGAGTACTTCCTTCGCGACTTCTGCCCATCGCCCCCTCCGAGCTCCCCCCCCTCCATCCCAGCCTTGGTCGCTAGCATGGCTTGAGTCTGTTCGAAGAGCGCGTCGAAGCTCCTGGAACCGAAGTTTGGTCCCTTGCGTCTGGTTTTTGTTCATCAAACACCCGCACTCGGTTCACCGCTGTGATGGGGTTGGAGTCAGTTTGGTTTTCTACTCTTTTGGAAGAGTCAGGTTTCATGGTTCATAGTTAGTTTTTGTTTCAACAGTACTCAATCCCAGCTTTGGCTGCCAATGGCTTTAATGTTGCAAAAGATTAAAGCAGACATGTCTCTATGGACAGCTCGTTTGTCTTTGTAATGAGCTTTAAAGTGACCCAAAGCCGTAATCGGGTATGGCTACTGTATTTTGCAGGATGTCTTGACACCCCCGTTCCAGTCTCAATTCTGTAACCAAGAAAAGGGTTTAGAAATGTTCTGCAATCATGGTCATTGACGTTTCACGAAGAATCCTGAATCTTAAAAGCATATTGCAAGACAAAGGATGCATCCGCAAAACTCTTAGTTGGTGCCCAATCTCCAGGCGAGAACGATACGCATAGCGACGCATAGTCTCTCTCCACACCTGATGCAGAAAGCGTCCGGGACAGGCACCAGAAGATCAGAACGCCCACCCCGCGCACGGCGCGTTTCTGGTAGATCCTTCATGACGCATATCCGCTCTGATACAGTTGTGGTTGTGATGATCCTTCTATATCATCCATATCGTACCATCTGATATAGATGGTTTTCCTTCTATATCATCTATACCCTTCTTGATAATCATACCCTGGTGGTAGAATCTCAACACCATGGCTCCTCTTCTTGCTCTCAGCAATGGACGACGCCTGTAGACTCGGTGGCGGAGAGGAAACCACGACTGTTGTTGACCGAGAATAACACAAGAATGTGGATGACAGGAAGCACTTGGTGTTATCCAATGTTAACAGCTTTTGAAGCTGAGGAATGAACACAAATACTTCATAAATCAACCTCCTTTGCACACGCTCGGCGCAGCATGGTGTGAGGATTGTTCTCAGCGCTTGTGTAGGAAGACCATAAACATCTCCAGCGTGCGCCGAAATGCTCAGGCTGTTAGACTCCAACATCTCATCTACCAATCTCTTCCTGCTCTTTCCCCATACACTCGTCGAATCGTCGATTCCAAAAAACCAACCTCTTCCGAGCCCTTTTTTGGCGCACACGCTTCTTGGCGCCACGCACTTTTTGGCCCGAAAAAGTGGAGGTTGAACTGATGCGTTGAGCTCTCAAAACGCGTTGACCTTGCACCACACCACCACACCCCAGTTGTCTCTTGCACCTGACCGGATACAGTCGACCGGTCTCCACCCGTCTCCGGCCTGCTTCGGAAGGAGCGTACTGCCGACCTCGGTCGGGACGGCAGATGGACCGGGGTCGGTGGCTCAAGGGACCCAGAACAGACCACCTGGCGAGTCCCGGTCCTTCAACGCATCGCAGCTGTGCGCAGCGGTGCGCAGCTGTGCTCTACACCACGCGTTCCCATACACTCCCTGCCCCGGGACCCGGCGTCCCTTGGGGTGAGAATCCGGGTTTGGGGTGCTCCTCCCGTCAAGGGAAGGGAGTGTTTGCCTTGACGTTCGGGACGCGTCCGTTGAGAACCAACACCGTACTACTGGCGTTGGGATCCACCCTAACAATGCCAAACCTCGTACTCCAGAGGTTTTTTTGGGGGATGCAAATCCCCAAACGCATCCAAACGCCAGGTTCAGGCAAACATATTCATCATGAAGCATATATATATATATAATAATCCGAGTTTGTTTAGGAATCGTTTTTTAGTGGTGGGCTGGAAGTGGCGATGGGACGGATGGGATGCGCAACTTGAAATGAACGCATGTCAAGGTTGTCTCCTACTCTTGGGCCTACTGCCTCTGCCTTACTGGTGCAGAGGGTAGAAACAAGAACATCCCACACCCCACAAATCCCTCAAACTATCCCGTGTTCTTCTTGTTTGCCCCCGCAAAGGCCAAACATGGCCTTTCACGGGATTCGTTCACTCTGCACACGTTCTCACCTGACGGAATGATCTCAAAGGATTGGCACCACCCGCCACCCGCGCGCTGTCGCGCCACTCCGCCGGGCGACGGCATGTTCGGCGCCCACCGCCTGGAGAAGAGGACGACCGAGCAAGGACCCTCCAGGATCGGTGGAGGAAGTTCGGTGTTTCCAGGTCCTTCGGTGTCCTGAACAAAAGAGGGCTCGGTGTCCAGGTCCTAAACACCACCTGAGCTCCGCAAAATACGTATGATGAAACCCCCATGTCACTGTCGTATCACTTTCTTATGCTCCTAGGTCCTACGCTTTTCTTCCGCGACCACATTGTGAGCTTGCGCGCGACAAATGTTTGAGAAGGCCTCACGCAGACCTTACGCATCTGCGTTGAGCACACATGAGACACATACCCCAAGGGAAATGCTTACGCGACGGTTCCTTTTGCAAATGAGCGGGCGACAACCACTGGATAGGTAGTCCACTATGTGCAGGAATTGCTAGCTGCTAGATCTCTTTGAGTCTTCCACTGCTTGGGCCACAACAAACTCACAGCTATTGCCAAGAATGGTGGGGAAAAATAATCCTCTTCTACTTACCTGAAACATAGTGCACCCAAAATGCCAGTTCCCAAGGCTTTCAAAGCTCTCATGATCGTTGAAGTTCCTTTCTTGACAGGGAGGTGTGTACTAGGAATATACGTGTGCGAATACGACCCTATGCAAAGCTTACGCAACATGCACGTCTCACAATTCCCTTACGCAACCTTACGCTGTAGTTCAGCTTGGGAGGTGTCTTGCGGTGCTCACCTGTGTTTTAAAAACGGTACTGGTAAGGGCTAGGGCTATGGCCCTATGGCTATGGCCGATATGGTTGTATTTGTTTTTCTGACCTAAGCTCAAACCTTTTTGTTCAGCATCGTCCCTGAAAACTTGGTCAATGTGTGCTCACACACTTGGAATCAAGAGTCTTGAAACCTGTGTTTTGTTTCACTATATTGTAATTCAATGTAGTTCATAGTTTCTTCTCCTCTTGGAAGTCTGTACCAGCCACCCTCCAGTCTCACAACCATGCGGCCTGCACTTGCTTGGCCAAGTTGCTCTCACCTTGCAGGGAAATTCTACGGGTGTCGTCACCAGCTTGAACAGTCGTGCTTGCTGTAGGTAGAATATGGTACAAAGAGATGCCACTGCATCTAGAAAGAAACATCCAAAAGAAGAACTCCGGCAAACATACCAGGACCCTTGCCCAATGAAAACCTATAGGTAGTGTGGGGTAGTCCATTGGACACCCCGACAGGATGGTCCAGGTATTGACTATCCAACAATCCTATCACCAATCGACTTGGAACGAAGTCTTCGATCCCAAAGCCGAGGATGCCGAGGATGTCCCCAAGGTCCATGACAGCTGCATCTAGACGTGGCTTGTCACCCTCTCTTGAAGAAATGTATGCGAAATGTCAAGTGCCCGAAATGAGTGATGAACACCATCTGCTCAATCCAAGCATTTCGCTCCTTGCACCAAGGTGCAAAAAGCTTTCGAACATACAATCATGCTGTATACTACAGTAATCTATGCATCTAAAATATATATGTACTATGATGCACTACGATGTTCTATATACTTTCTTTCCACATCATTCCACATCTAGCTATGAATACCGCACGTGCGGTATTAACCAGTGATCTCCTAAGGCCCAGATCAGTCGCAAATCCGCTGGTCGTGGCGGATACGCTCGTGCCTGGCATCCGCTTCGCTGGAAGACTCTTGGCCCTGAGCGGCGGAAAGGCCCGGGTGCGGTGCATCGGTCGGCGTCCACCATCGGAATGGTTTTCTGATGTTTTCTTCAACATCTTCAACCCAGACGCTCCGTTTTCGTGAAAACAGCCCTACTTCTGGTCCCTATCGTCAACCGGATTTGAGATGGACCCCTTCAGGATCCGGGTCCAACCCCCTCATTATGAGGGCTCAAAGTCGACCGATGACGTGGCGAGCGAGCAATCACTCGCGCCTGGGGAGCTGATATGCTGTCAGAGGCCTCTCCTGCAGCGGCTTGAGGCTGGCGAAGATCATGTTCGGTTGAGATCCACTTCGCTCCCCCTCGCTGGCCCCGCCCTTTTCAGGACAGTCTCATGAACGGCCTTCTGACCACCAAACCCGACCAAATCCTGAAAAGGAAGGTCTGGTCCAGTCGGACGTCCACCAAAGAAAGGCCCCGAATGACACCGCCGAGCACCGATCAGAACGACCTGAGCTTCGAAAGTGGGCCAGGTTCTTTCGCTGCCTTACCTGGTGAGAACCAACGTCCCGGCCCGATGGCTCCAGGCTGTGCATGTCGAGACGTCTGAATTCACATGACATGAGTTCTGACAAGATGGCTCTGGGACACCCCATCATTCACACGGTTCGAAGCGATCGGACCGAGGCCTTTTCAGGGGTCTCTGGACCGATCGGGCCTTTTCGAAGGTGCGGCCGCCAAGCGGAAGTCACGTGGAGCCATGAGTAGGCTGGATTTGTAACTCAACAGAAACCTGTACAACGTCATTAACCTTTCTTTCCACATGAATCATGATGAGTCCGAATGAAGCATGATAAATGCACGACACACCCAGCAGGTGACGCCAGAACGCTGCCACTCAAGGCGAGCCGGCCCAGCTTCCGCCCGCCCCGCTGAAGCGAGCGCGTCCTGGAAAGCGCTCAACGGCGGAGGGGCCCCAGGGGTCAAACGTGGGGCCTCGGCGCCGTCGGAGGGACTGGGACGGGACTAGGCGTTGGAGGAATGGGTTCAGATGAACATCCTCCACAATCGATTGTAGATGGATGGATGGTTCATCCTGCAGGGCCAAAAGGCCTTTGACCAGTCTGCGAACATGGGGGAACTTCGCTCATGTGACCTGACTCGAAGCCTGAACCTCCCGAGCATCCCCCGGATCATCCTCTTTGTCCACCAAACCGCATAGATCATCCAAGTAATCTCACACTTCCATCAACCAAAGCTTTCATGAGCAACCATGCCATCTGCAGTCCGATTGCTTCGTAGTATAGTATAGAAAGACATCACAACTGACAATCCATGGCCACGCGACGCGGGAAAACCAACTGAACCCCAGAGGCCAAAGAGGGCTTCGGACGAGGCGACGCTTCGCCACTGGGCACCTTGGCGCGTCGCCCGAGTCCAGGTGGGACGAAGTGGAAGGTACGTCAGGCGTTCCAGAGAATGGTAGTGGGGCGACTTTGGACATTTCAGTCGGATGGTCGACCCTTATAGGGTATAGGAAATTGGATATGAAATTGGTATATTCTGCATATTTCCCTGCTGTCCTGTTTACAGGTGAAAAAGGGAATGGGCGGTGACATCAACAAGTGGCTGCTCTCTGGCATAAGACCCATCCTGGGGAAACTCTGGAACTGAGGTCTCGACTTGATTATTGCTGGAAGTCCGCATGAGAGGAACCAAACGACACCCTAACGGTACCCGAGAATACCCCCAGCTCTCACCATTATCACCTGCCTTCCCTCATCATTCCACATTCATCCCACCATCCTCCCCTTTTCAGTCCAAGTAACTGATCTGGCCGACTGCAAGTCATAACCCAAAGGTTGACCTTGGCGACGTCGGGTTACCCGAGTCCCGAACCCCACCGAGCGAAGCGTGGCTCGGGGCCACCTTGGCTCGGTGGGATCCGACTCCATCCCGGATTCGGTGATCCACTGACTGGGTAGATCTGGGGATATGTGAAGATCCAATTGGATCCCGTCTAAATCGATCTCGTGCGAAAGAAAGATCTCGAAAGAATGGCTGCGACCAGTCAGACTGCAAGAAGTGGTCGGACAGGCAGAACATGGCAGAACAAACAGACGCAGGCAAAGACTTCGATTTTCTTGCGTCAGAGGGACCTTTCCCATCCAATTTCACGCGGAATTGCACTTCGTCCTCAGCAAGTCATTCAACGAGTTGGCCCTGGAACCTTAGCTCCATGATTCGTGACCACCTGGTGAATCACCGATGATTCATCATCAGAACAAGCACATCGCCGGAGTGGTCAACCGGGAACTGTTCACTCCGCCTGCTCGATAACGATGAACGCAACTGCGGACCAGGACCAGTGGAAGGATTTCCAAGCAACTGGCCATCCAGCCAATTTAATTTCATAAAATTTCCCGATCATTGACCATTTGATACTTCTCGGCATGTTACAGCTACCATCTACCACACACTTGGAGTTGCCCCGCCATACGAACGATGCAGAATCCAAGAAGGGAACACCGGATGCATTCAGGAGACTGCTTCAGAAGAACAAACACGAAAGAAACCACTTGGCCAACATCATGCCAACATCTGTTGATTGAATTGTAACATGGATTTCTCATGCCCCTCCTATATAATATTGCCTATGAAGATCCTGTCAAAAGCGCTTGAGAAAAAAAAGAAGACACACCTCCAAAACCATCCAAACCCGCCCGCGCCCGCGCCCATTGGCTCCTCCTCCTGGAAGTTCTTCAGCTCCAATGGAGAAACCAAGACGTCCCGGCCGAAGCGTTGCCAGGTGCCATGGCATGCAATGAAGCCCAGTCCTCCACCGGTCCATCCATGGATGACCATTGACCGTGACCTGGTCCAACATTCTAAACCAACATCGAATGAAACATATTCAAACCATCCTAGATTATAGGCACAATATCATACCAGATCCTAGGACCTAGGGGTCTAAGATGGTCTAAGGGGTCATGGGTGGTCTGGGGTGTTTTTTTTCAACCCCCACCATGCTCCAAACAAGGGTGGTCTCCGGTCCAGACCGGGTCCACCTAGGTCATCATTCTGAGCGTCAGATCCGTTCGGATCCCCGGGTCCTTTCTTCGGGCTGATGTTCTTGATTCGGCCAATATAGACCTGATCTCCCGTGCCAGTCAGATGAGTCGATCCTTTTCTATCTACGGCACAAAGGCACGACATGGTAGTCTGAGTAGTCCGGGGTGGACGCAAACTCCTCTGGACGCGGATCGTTTTGAGGTTGGGTCTTTCTCTGGTGCCGCGTCATGTTCATTTTGCAAGGCTGCAGGCTTCGCAAGTGCCCCGTGATGCAGTTGAAAAGGGATGTAGCATAATGGATAATGGATAACCTATCCAAGCCAAGGATGTGCCAAACAATATGCTTCAAAAACGGTATACCCCCCTGCTCCCTGGAACCACCGAAACCCGCGGGTGTTCTCTCTGAACCACTGCTTAGAGCGAAGGGGCGGGTCTTCGAAGCATCGTATTGAGGCGTGAGACATCCTGGCGCTGGTGTGGCAGGCGTGGCGACGCTGGCACAACAAAGCGTGGAGGAAACAGTTGGTTGGGGCGATTGAGGACGTTCAACGACGGTTCAACGACGGTTCCCACAAGGGCACGCAGGGAATGTTCGAGATTTAAAGCCTAGGTGCGCGCTCAAGGCCAACAAATTGAGGGGAATTCGTTGAGCTTTTTGGATTTGTTGGGCTGACAAGGGCACTTGTCATCTTAGAACTGAGTGCCTTTCGCAAAATAGAAACAGGAAACCAACCCTGTCTAGAGACTGCCATCCAAATCACAAGGTCGGATATATCATCCCACCCCCTCAAATATTATAGAGAAACAATCAGAAACACTGTCATCGGCAGTCTTTTAGGTCAGCATCTCTCATTCAAAAGTGATCTCCATAGCAATGGACTGCCTTCAAACACCGTGGCTACCAGGTAATATGATAGATGACATCGGTGGGGAACACATGATCCACAGATCTTCCAAAGTCCTTGTGGTCCTTGAATGGTCCATTTGTGTGATCGATCTCGAAAACCAAGCACTTCATAGCGTCCAAACGAGCTCGACCGGTGAGCGCGGTGAGTCCTTCCGGTCTCTCCCGGTGTCCTTCGCGGGTTTCTCGGTCACCGAGAAGGCGGTCTGAGTGGCGTGCCAGCGACGAACACGACGGAGCCAAGTGCAACCAGGTCTGAGTCTGAGCATCCAAAAGCCTAACATCGCATCAATGGGGGTTTTTCACAAAGCCCTGAACACATGCATGGTAGAACAACCACTGTTTACCAGGGAGAAACATCGTCTTAGACAATCCTCAGGTGCGGTTCACGAGTGTCGAGCCCAAACCAAAAAAACGCTGACAGCCGCCGCGGTGGGCACCTTCGGCCGTTCTGCCGGACGTTGAGCCGGACGTTCAGGTGGCCGGGGAAGTCTGGCGTTGAGCGCGCCCCGGTGCTCGTTCCATCCGTTTGGGGATTTCATGAAAGGCATCAAGGCAGCATGCAGCAGTATCGCCCACATGGTCTTGGTATCTTTCTGGGCATCGCCCACAACCGGACGACACTCGTCAGACCTCTTCTCCGGTTCTTGAAGGCCGTGGAAGATTCGTCTTCGACCCTGGCGAAGGACAGCCGTTCCCAATGCACCAAAAAACACAAAAGGTATACTGAGGACACGTTTCGTGTTTTATAAGTAAATGGTCTGCAAATATCTGCAAGAGGTCTTCACTTGCCACGAGTATCCACGAGTCATACGGTGTCCACCAATATTTGTTTCCTCTTGAATTGTGCAGCTTGCATAACCCAACCAAAGCTTGGCATGTGTGGCGCAAGAAAAGAATAGCCTCATAGCCCATGGCTGTGCACCAAAAAACATTGATTGCCATGGGCCAGCTGATCTTCACAGCCACGTCTCAGCCGAGGAGCAGGTGCAGGCACTGGAACCGACCTCGTCTCCGGCGGCTCCAGCTCAGCGGGCACCGCCGGCTCCGCCGGCTCCGCGGGCTCCGCGGGCTCCACGTCGAGGTCTCAAACGGCCGACCGCAGGTGGTTTCAGCATCAGGAACCGAAGGAGAGAATTAAACACATGCAAAAACACCTCATTCTGAATTCTTTCTCCTTTTCGTCTTGAACGTCACTCCCATCCGTTGCCTGCAAAGGCCTCGGCCTCCAGGAATTCCTCGGCCTGTGTTTCCGAGCGGAGATGAAGCGACGACGTTCGCCGGGCGTCTCCGCGGTCGGGGTCGGATGTGTTCGATGCTCGCCACTCACAGTCTAATGGCCCGTCATGGTCAAGCCAGTCATGTGCAGTGACGTGCCGAGCCAGTCATGTGCAGTCCTTCCGCTTTCACTGCAAACGACGCTTTCATTGCAAACGACGCTAGAGGAACACCACGCGACAAACGCTTCGTATCCGCTGCTTCCACCCAACGAGTGGATGCACTGATCAGGCCTCATTCTCCGCTTCCTCTCCCTCCACTTCAGCTCCAGCACACAGCTGCTCCGCCTCTTCAGTGACCGCGGCCAGATGGCCAAACACCATCGGAACACGCACCACTGTGGCCCGTTTTTAGAAGACTCACTGTTGCTCGTCCTTACAAAGAAAAACACCGGTGGAGGACACGCCATCTTCACCCATCCCTATGAGCTGTTCATAGGCCTTCTTTCTGGTTTGTCGGCTCCTTCCCAAAGCCTCCTTATTCCTCCCCCCTCTACGGATCTTCGCAATCACTGCTCGACCTAGGACCTATTGCCCCAATTTGACCAGTGGATCCAGTTTGGCGGTGTTGCTTTTCAACCAACTCCCGGACAGTGGTTTTGGGGGTCAATGGGGCGGCATATATGGCAGTCCCATGGAGCGTTCGGGTGCCCCAAACGTGCCCCGTGTCGTCGAAAGAGAATTCTGGACCCTATTCACTCCATTTCCCATTGCGCCTGGGAGTTGAGATCAGGGAGTTCCTCATCTCTTGGACCCTGATTTTGACCTCCACGCCTCCTGGCCAAAAGACCGCATACGGCCGAGGTCTACACCCACTGTAAACAGAGGCAAACAGCTTGTTGTACAAGAGGAAGATCCTAAGCCTTGCGTTCTTGTCGCATTTAGCAATCTTGCTCGTACGATCTTGCTCTTGTTACATTGGCACATATAACCTATCTCCTTTCTATGACGTTGATCATGAGGGTGGGATAGGGCGGGAATGGATGCGCTATCATCTCCTTGCACCTGTTCCAACCGAGCCACCAGCGCAATCAGCCTCCGAAAGAAGAAACATATAATATACAACAACATAAAGCAACAATTATTCTTAATGTCCAATGGAACACGATGGCGTTGCGACGCGCTTTGTGGATCCAAGTACCAACGCCCCAACGCAAAAGGAAGAAAGAACCTCAGCGATCTGCGTTCTTCAACTACTTGGTAGACTACGACCTCAATTCGACGAACTAAGGAAAACCTCTTTCTCTTTCAACACCCCCAAAGGCTCTCCTTCTCCATCGGTTCCGCCTCTGGACCTGAAGGATGGTGGACTTCGATCGATGGTTTTCGCATGCCGCATGCCGAAGAATGATCGTGTTGGCAATCCTATCCGTTGGGGATGCTCAAGACATCGTACATGTTTGGTCCAAAAACACCATTCCCAAGCATCGCCTGGACCTTCGGCCGTTGTTCCCTTTGGTTTCCTTCACTTCTGAGAACCTCCTCACCGGGTTCGAAGCACTCGCACCTGCGCTGCATCGCTGCGGCCCCTCCGGCCTGGGCGAGGGAGGAGCGACCCACCCCCTTCGGCGCTCCGCGTCTCGAGGCTCAGCGATCCAATGCCGACAGGAGACCTGGCTGACCCCTTCGGAGGCCTCCTTGGCCCTTGCCGCCCTTGCCGCCCTTGCCTCCTTTGCCCATTCCTGGCGTTGCTGGTGAGAAAGGTGACACAAATCCGTAGTAATAAGCAATTATAAGCCTATTATCAATACCAAAGATATCTATCTCGATATAAAACTATAATATATCTATATATATATATATATCAACAGTATACATGTTCCAGGAGTTTGTCTCGCCAAGAGCTGCCTCAATGCATGGCTTCAGCACCCATCACCCATGGCGGTAGCTGGGTAGCTGGGCACCGTCCCCAACGCGGGGACTGACGCAACTGGGTAGCATGAGCACCGTCTAGAGGCACATCGTGGAACACGTCGTGCTCCGACCTTACCGGGAGCGCTGGAGGGTCATGTCACATGGTGAGCATCTCATGTCACATCCTGTCACATCTCTTGACCACTGGCGAGCTCCAAATCGATTCACAACAGCCTCTGTTGTGAGAAAGGAATCCTGACATGCATGAAGTCCGCATATTATGTCTTTCAAACTGGGAGTGACATCGGGCGATGGCGGCAGAAGCACAGCTGCTTTCATTGAAGTACAAAAGGATCAAGCAAATATCAAAGTGACTCCAATGAAAAAGCTAATAGAACCCACTACATTTTTCAATGCCTGCCAAAAGCTGCAACCGCCGGCTGCAGGGCGGCTTTTTTTGCTCCATTGATAACGGTATCTCTGCTTGAAGCTGCGTCGCACACCATATGTTTGCACATCTGTGAGTGGTTTATTGAAATTAGAGAGAAGTTTGGCTTCGGCACTTGCAAGCAGGTCTCAGGTCAGGCATTCATAGTCGTGCAAGACTATGTAAAACACAAGATTCTTGCCCAGTGGGCTGGAGACCATAAGGACATCATGGTGCTTTTGTTTGTGCAACGCGCGTTCATTCACGGCTCGGATCGTTGTGAGACCAAACGGATGCCCATTTCAACTGGCGTCCACCTATTTCAACGGGGGCCCTTTTTGGCCCTCCTTCCTGGGGTCGACCCAAATCTCGATGAAAGAACACGATCCAAAGTCATAAAGTCCAAGAAAGGCCTCAGGTATATCTTCCCCCTGAACATCCTTAAACTCAAAAATGGATCTTTTCTCGGGTCATTGTGAGAGCTCAAGCCGCCAGGTGGGCCACCAGTTTCCCAGAACCCCCCTGGAAGCGCGCCCAAACAGCTAGCGCTGAGGTGCAGAACACAGACCCCCCGGCAACGTTCGACTGCGGACTGCGGTGGGTGTGTCCAGAAGAAAGACTTGCCTCCCTGAAGGGTTGATCAACAACCAGAGTGTCACAGGGCAGTACCTGGTTTGACCTGTAGATATCAAGCAGTTACACATCTACGGGATCCAACGGAAGCTCCATGGCTTTCTATCGAGTGCTAACCGGGTTCAGGAGAATCGGCTCTGTCTGAGACGAATTGGTTGATGTTCAGCGTCGACAGTCTTGGTTCAGTTCATACTCAAATTTCACTTTGTTCCTCCTTTGGCCTCATCTCCCAACGAGGACAGTGCTCCTAAGCAGGTGCTGGCCTGCTGATTTGAGGGTCCCCCACGTGACACAATTCTCACTTCGTCTGTTTTGCTCTAATTCGCTGCCTCTGACGGGGGTCAATGCTCCAACGACGTCAGCTGCTGCTGCTTCTTCTGCGCCGCCGGCTTCGGCTGTGTCCTCGACGCCGCCTCAGGCGATTTATAGGGAGTCGAGGGAAGGTCTGATGCTCTGCAAGTGTTCGGGCATCTATGGTCTTGACCGGCAAGCAAAAATATAGCAAACTATATAGATCGAACAGTTTCGAATATCCAAGTCTCGACATTCATACGAAACTGCTGTCACCAAGATTGGGCTTGGCATGGCTTGGCTGATATTAATTGGATGTGGTCATCATCATCGCCCACCCGTGCGAGTGATTCAGAGTCGTTTTACCTTGCTCCATCCTCATGTTGACCAAACCAGACCTATTGGGATGGTCCCACACACTGTTCATTGACAAAGTCCTACACCACTTCAGCAATTAAAAAACTGCAAGAACCAGCGGATTTTTATTTCTTGCATAGCTCCCCAGGGGGGTCTCGAACTGTTTCTGGAACCACTGCCAACGACTGCCACTACTATGCTCAACTCGGTTGAGCTGTAACCCGACCAAGCGTGGTGCATGCCGCTCTCCATCTGCGTCCATCCGCCGAGGTACTTGGAACGCTTCCGTCGGCTCGAGCTTCTCTTCCGCCGGGAGGAGCTCTTCTTCCTGTGAACATGTACAAACAGATCTTCATGAAAACAAAGAGGTTCTTCAGTACATGTTCCGGGGTAAAGCCTGGAGCATTTTGGAACATGCCACCATGTTTGTTCTGTTCGCTAGGGAGAAGGGATGAAGTCCTAGAAGAATGCCTATAGGAAAGCCTATTTGTTGGACTGTAGAAGTGGCATGGCTCATAAAGAAGCGGGCCTGATGGGTGATGACATGTGAAATGTGACGGTGAGACCACAACAGGTCATCAGCTATTTACTAGATGTTGCTTAAACGAAGAGTGGGACACGTATCTTCTATAGCAGGCTTTCGAAGCGTCTTCCCAAACCTTTCAGAAATAGCTGTATCATGCTGTATCAATAGTAAATGCCGTTCAGTTTTGCAAAATCACACATCGCACCTACCTCGGAGGTTTGAAGGAAACCATTGATCACAGCTCTTCTCTTCCCTCGCAGCGTTTCTTCACCGCTTTCCGTGCTCTTGGACCCAAAGACCACCGCTTTCCCCCTGCCCCCTTTTCGGTTGCGGAATCCGCAGCTCAGAGCTCCGCCTTCTCTTACTCTTACCGGAGCTTTCAGATCTCTTTCGTCGACTCCGCGACTTCGAAGCCCTCGGCGTCGGTCTTCCGCGTGTCCACCGCGGAGAGAACCGCGGAACCAATTCGGCACAGCGACACGAGGCATCGGGCGGTGCCACTGCGGCATGCAGCGCATTTCACAGCCCATTGTAGTATAAGACGGATACCGCTTGATACTCAACGTGCCACCCAAAATGAATCACACCTTGCCAGCGTGCATTGATGTGGATGCAAACGGATCGTTTCTTCAAGGCGACGGAAAAAACTTATTTTGCTCCGTTCCATCCGGGGACACTTACACCAAGAAGAATGCCATGTGTTGGAAGATTCCGTGGTTTCGTTGCCCTGTGTAGTCAATTGCACAGAACCGAAACTTTTCACAAACAATCTGATTCACCAAGCAGGGGCCGATGAACATGGCTTGATCAAGCTCTCCCATCAATGCCGGGCAGCTTCTTCCGTTTCTTCTTTCCAGATTCTGCCTTGGTCACTGCTCCCTTATCAAAAACAGTCAAAGACATCACGTGCTTCCCTTCATCGTCTTCGGACAAACCTCACTTGGAAAAAAGTATTTTCCAAACTCGGCTATCTCTTGTCCTGAAGTGAAGGAAGTTGCCTGAAATCACGGAAATCGGAAGTGAACCCAAACCCACTGAAATCATTTTTAACCGGTGATTTTCTTTTCATCCTCCACTGGCATTCCGTCCGTGCGTGCGTCCCAAGGAGCAGAGCTCTCGCTCGCCTTCCGCTTGCGCCTCGGAAGGATGTGTTCAAAACGCCGAGAATTCCGAGTGGAGGACTTTCCTAATATGTACCAGGGGCCCGAACCAAACCATGCAAAAGAGAGGTGTTCACATACCAAAACCAGTTTGTTTGCTAGGGAATACCAGGTTTTTGATGGTTTGTGGGGCCCCTGGTAGGTGATGTATGTTTGTATGGGCCTGCAGGGAAAAAATGTTATCTGTAACTTTTTTAATGATACCTAGATACGTATCTGATGTGTGGTTTGAATAGCTACTCAATAGACTGTCACTGTTAATAGCAAATCTGCATACACCTAAAGCCCATTTGACCTTTGTTTTGATAGGAAAAGATCTTATTTTGGGTAGTTGGTGATCCAAAATAGGGGTCATTCAGGTTCCAACGACCTACATTGAGTCTTGGTGGTTGAATGATCTCATGACCATTGGATCATTGATAGTTACTGTACTTCATATGGATCATTCCATGGCTGAGTTCATGTGACCTCATCACCCCATTCACTTCACGTTTTCCTTGTTTTGGCGAAATGTACATCGAAACTGCTCCCGCTTTGGGTGTAAGGAGTGACAAACATGTTTCCAATCTCTCTTGGTCAACCAGGACCTCTTTCGGATGGCCGCCGCGTACCAGCCCTGCGTACCAGCCCTGCTTACCAGCCGCCAATCCAAAGAAGCGAAACCAAAAACTGTTCGAAGAAGCTCGACTCGTGCGACTTGTTCTTGTGGTTCTTGTCGTTTCCATCTGCACCGATGCTTCCTCCATTGTCACTGAGCGCTCCCGCTTCCGGCTATGCGATCTCCCTCGGGCCTTCGCACTGAAGCCAAACGAAGCAAGGAATCTTCGACGTGTCTTTTAATGTTGTTTTTCCCTAAACAGTTTACTCTTTGGGTTTTCAATGTTTTTATAAGTGTGTCCGCCTCAGACTGGGCTGCCCGTGTGTCAGCCTGAAGTGGCAAAACTCCTTATGTTGCAATTCTATATGTTTGTTTCCCAGTCCGGGCGAGTGTGTTCACCTTCTGGCACCTCCCGCGTGTCCATGCTAGCCGTTCCTTACCAGCTATTCTTCTCTCGGTTTTGGGTAGTGTGTCCGCGTTCTGGAATTGTTTACATCTGCCTCCCTTCCTACATTTGACTCCCGGTCTGGCCAGTTTGCCCGCCTCCTGGCAAGTGCTTAGTATAGCAAACTTGACATTTGTCTCCCACTATTTGTTTCCCAGTCTGGGCTATTGCAATACCTTCCGACGGTCAGTTTTGAGATGCAGAGTTACGGTCGACTGTTTGGGGTCTACGCCGGTGATTTGCAGATTCCCTGGGTCTTAGCAACCCGAGGTGTTTGTTTCCTCAAAAAGTACCAACATCGATGTCCATCTTTGTTTCCCAACGGAGCTGGAAGAGGTCGAACTTGCTTTTCCCACCGGTCGTCTGACCATGTGGGATCAAATGACTAT